GGCTGGTACCGACAGAGGTACCGGCCTGGACTGGCCTACCCCGAATACAACACAGGCCTGTGAGAACAGGCCAAGGGGCTGGTCTCACAGGCCAACCCGAGGTCTGCTATACGATCCTCGGTCTGTGAAGGATCGCCTGGATACAAACATGCTTCCGCCAAGAAGCGGAACTCTACCAAAGAAAAGAAAACCTGAGTAGTCTAGGATGCGGAGCAAGCTCTATGCTGAGTCCATGCGATGCAACCTAGGATATAAAATATCACAAAACAGCAATGTCACAACTAACAGCCTAAGTCAAAGTAGAAGCAACTAACTAACATACATGTCCTAGGAAAGCAAAAGCAACTAACTAGCGTACATGTCCTAGGAAAGCAGAAAGTAGTGACAACTAGATCCTAGAATGTTGGAGGCACCAGCCTCAGTCTGGTAACAACAGACTAGTGTATAAGTCCTAAGAACAACAAAAGCAGATCAACTAAATCCTAGAAATGTCGGAGGCAGTAGCCTCAGTCTGAGAGCAACAAAGCAATCAACAAGACAACCATATGTCACATGAGAAGTGTGTCGCAAACCAAAGGGTGGGATGGTCTCTGAGGGTGGCGAATGCAGCCTAGGGGTCGAAAACTCCTAAGGGCATCCACACATAGTGACAGGGGAAAACACATGTCATCAGGCTCAATGAGGGTAGGGAACTGGGAGCGAACAGAACCAATGACCCTAACAGATAGACCATCAGGGCGGGTAATGCTCGACTAAGGGGTGACCGCTATGAAGGGTCGACCAAGCAAGGGAACAAGGGAGCCTGGTATACTGGGCGCACCTAGATGAAGCATGCGGGGCTGCCCAACTAGGGCGTGAGGGTCGGCGAAGGGTAGAAAGATGATGGGTAAGGGAATTATGCAAATGACTCCTAAAGGGAGGGAAGTCGGAGCTAGATCCGTAAGATGGGAAGCCACGGCAACGCTACGGTCCCGATGCCTATGCGTATACCAAGGGAGAGCCCAACTCAGAGGAACCCGGCTAAAGGGAGACCATCATGCGACACAAGCAGGGTACTGTACAGGGTAGAGTGGTAAGACAGTGGTGACGTCTGAAGTAGGCAGAGCTGATCGTGATGAAGTCCATGAAGCTGCCGATGACATCCACGATGAGAAGTCCGGAATGCCGTCGAGGAAGAGTCGCAACGTCGACGAGCTGAAGTAGCGAAACTGATGTGGATGGAGTACTGAGAAGTCAGAGACGTGGGAAGGTAAGTCAGAGTCAATCGTCGTATCGAGCAGGACGACGACCAGTGCGTTGTGGACGCTCAGAAGCATCCGGGTGCTGCTGAAGGTCTGCCTTAGATGGAGCAGGCTCAACTTCAGCGGTCTCCTCAGTCGGAGGAGAAGGAGGAGGGTCAGTGGGCTGAGGAGGAGCAGTGAACCCAGCACGACGAGCACGGTCATAAGCACGCACCAACATGCGAGCGTGCTGCAAGTGCTCGAGGGGCTCCCAGATAGCCTCCTCATCAGGGTAACCCTTCCAACATACGAGATACTCGACGTGGCGAGGGTTGTCGTCGGTGACTCGGTGACCAATGATGTCTGAAACGAGGAACTCCTCGTGACCGTCCACCATGATGGGTGGAGGGCGCTCGTATGGTCGTCCGGCAAAACGCTCAGACGGTCTGCAGTAAGGACGCTGTAACGAGACGTGGTAGACATCGTGCACACAAGTCTGGCATAGGTAGTCGGGCAGCTTCACACGGAAGCTGACCGGGCTAGAAGCCGTATCAGAACCGACGGCCTGGAGGATGCGGCATGGTCCAAAGAAGCGACGCCGAAACTTGCGAAGCGTGTCCGCTTCGAGCTGTAAGTGGCGGGCGTCGATAGGCATGTCATCACCGACTTTGAATGGATGGTCCATCCTCGATCGGTTCGCACGTACTGCCATGCGAGTCTGGGAAGCGGCTATGTGCTTTGTGCGGTCTTAATGATCGACGTCATGTGTGCAACCCAATCATCTAGCGCGGGACAACTCGTGTCGGGGTGCATCTGTGACGGTCGGAGGAAGTCCGCGGGAACACGAGGGTGGTAGCCGAGGTCGCAATAGTAAGGCGACATCCCCGTGGCTGGTGAGACGGCGTGGTTGTAGGCTATCTCCGCGTGGGCAAGATGGAGATCCCACTGCTGGTCGTCACGAACAATCTTTCGGAGAATATCCCCGAGAGTCGTGTTCGTGATCTCGGTCTGACCATCAGTCTGAGGATGGTAAGACGAGAAGAAGCGGTGCTGAGTGTCGTACACCTCGTGGAGACGTCGCCAGAATCGGCTGGTAAAGCGCGGGTCACGGTCTGATATGATGGTCAGAGGTAAGTCGTGGTCACGCACGACTCGGTCAAATACGATGTCGGCGACCTCACGTGCACTGATGGCATAGCGGCATGGAACAAAGCGTGCACGCTTCGTGAAGCGGTCGCTGATGACCAGGATAGCATCATGACCGCGGGGGGTCGAAGGTCGAAGCAAACCGATAAAGTCCATCGAGATGGACTGCCAACGACCCTCCGGGATAGGAAGAGGCTGGAGCAAACCATAAGGTAGGTGGTTCGCACTGTTCACCTCCTGACAGGTGGGACACTCTGCGACGTAGTCCTTCACAAAGTCCTTGCGCTTCGGCCAGACGTACAGGCGGCTCACACGAGCCAACGTCTTGTGGAAGCCCATATGACCAGCGGCTGCCTGGTCATGGAACTCTGCTACTGCGCGGACACGTAGCTGTCCAGTGGAGGGAATGCAAATATGGGGCTCTCTGGTGCCCTGTGAACCGTGCCAGTACACAAGACCGTTGTCCCCGAGAGAGTAGTTCGGTACGGTTTTGCCACTCCGAAGGGTCGCATGGATGTCGCGATAGTCGAGGCAGTAGGGGTACTGAGTGTGAAACTCGTCGATCGCCGAGTGGTGGACGGTGGTGACCGAGATGGAAGAGAGCTGGATGTGCTCCTGGTCATGGTCAGGGCGCCGGGATAAGGCATCTGCGACCCAGTTAGTCACACCCTTGATGTGCTCAGTGGTGAAACTAAACTCGGATAGGTTGCGCCACCAGCGTGCCTGTCGAGGAGTGAGCTGCGGCTTTGTCAGAAAAGCCTGGACAACAGAGTTGTCCGTGCGCACCGTGAATGGTGCCCCATGCAGGTAGTGACGCCAGTGCCGAGCGGCATAAACTACTGCGAGAACCTCACGTTCATCAGCAGTGTAGTTTATCTCGGCGGGCAGGAGCTGACGGGAGTAGAAGGCTATCGGACAATCACCTGAGCGAGACTCGACAGTGCCGTCCTCGGCGATGATAGGAGAATAGTCAATAGAAGGTTCGTCAGTAGCTGGACAAGTAGGCGTCAGTCGGGAAGCAGTGGTAGGGGTAGGTGTTGGGAAGCGAGGGATACGAGGATGAGAGGAATCAGGAGAGAAGCGGAAGACCTGAGAAAGCACTGCTCCTATAGGAAAGTATGACACATCGGTGGTAAGGATAAAAGGGCGRTCAAAATCGGGTAGGTGAAGAACCGGTGCGCATGTCACCGCCTTGTTGAGGGCGCGGTAGGCGTCCTCGAGGAGGGGTGTCCAAGACCAGGGTGGGTTCTTCCGGAGGAGGGTGGAGGTAAGGATGTAGGAATACCTAGCGTATCCCCAGATGAAGTTACTATAGTAGTTGGTCAGGCCTAGGAAGCTGCGAAGCTGCTTGGCGGATGTGGGGGCGGGCCACTCCGCAATAGCAGTGATCTTCGCGTCGTCCATGTGGAGACCCTGGTCAGACACGTAGTGTCCTAAGAAATCCACTTTGTGTTGGGCAAAGCGGCACTTGCTCAGCTTGGCGTAGAAGCCATGTCTGCGCAAGCGGTCAAGGACGTCGCAGAGGTGTCTGAGGTGCTCCTCAAGGGTACGACTACAGACCAGGATATCGTGGAGGTAGACGAGAACGTACTCTTCCAGGATGTCCCTGAAGATGTCGTTCATCGCCCTCTGAAAGGTAGCGGGTGCATTGGTGAGGCCGAATGGCATCACCGTAAACTCATAGTGGCCGAACCGCGATCGGAACGCTGTCTTCGGCTGGTCGGCTGCAGCGACGCGGATGTGATGGTAACCGCTACGAAGATCAATCTTCGTAAAGAAGCGGTTGCCTGCTAGGCGGTCGAACAACTCATCGGAACGAGGCATGGGGTAACTGTTCTTAACCGTGTAGCGGTTGAGACCGCGATAGTCGATGCAGAGACGAAGAGTTTCGTCCGCTTTGCGAGCAAAGAGGACGAGTGCACCCCACGGGGAGTTGCTGGGTTTAATGAAACCCAGTCTCAGGAGCTCCTCAAGCTGACGCTTGAGTTCGGTGGCCTCGGGAATCGAGAGTCTGTAGGGTGCGTGGTGGTGAACACGATAGTCAGGCACAAGCTAAATGGAGTGCTCGACGTCACGCATCTGTGGGATGCCGGCGTACGAGAACGACGATGGGAAAACGTCGTGGTACACTCGGATGAGGTCACGAACTGCGGGCTCCAAGTCTGCCGTATATCGTGTGAGTTCCTCAGCGTCAGCGTCAGCGCGYGACGGCGGGGTGGACTCGACGAACGGCGGAGAGACGGAAGTAAAGATGGGAGTCATGGAGATAGAGGGAGGATCTGGCTCCAGAGGGATGAGCTTGACGTCGGGACAGGGTGAATCATAGTGTAAGAGATCCGTCACGTCCACCATAAAGAAGGTGACGTCGTCCTGTCGAATGAAGTGAGCGAACTGCCGAGGCGAGGTGATAGTGATAGAGGGAGGTGGTGTGGGTACTGAAGGCTCCAGGGGAGGAGGATCGGGGCGTGGTGTCGTCGTGGTACCTATGAAAGGTACGCGATACGTCTGTCCAGACTTCGTTTTGAGAACGAGAGTGTTGGTCGCCTAATCGGTCTCGGTGCTGCGGAACCAACGAGACCACGGAGTGCCGAGAATGAAGTCGTACCCCGTCTCCATCACATCGAAATGTGCAGAGGAGCGGTGGCGACGAGACGCCGGGGAGCGATTAGTCGACTCAAGAGTGAGGAAGAAGGGGAGGTTGATGACCGTCTGATCGAAGAAGCGCTGAGTCTTGTCATCCCCTAGGGTAACGAAGATGGGAGTCGAAGACCCTGTCGTGGGTAAGCGGCTTCCTTCACCACGCGTGGGTGAATGAAGTCGCCCTGAGAACCGGAATCCCACAGCGCTGAGTACACCCTCGTGGAGGTCCCGAGTCGTATTGGGATGATCGCGAGGGTGCGATCAGGGTCAGAGAGGATGGCGAGAAGGCGACGCAGTGCAGYGACATGGAGGGTGAGTCGCTCCTDACGAGCCTGGAGCATGCTCAAGTCCAGAAGAGAGGACACAACGTCCTCGCGAGTAGCAAGCTGCTCGCTGCAACGGGCTGAGCGAATGGCTCGACGCGTCGRTAGTCGCGGCGGGGRAGGAGGGDAGACGGTGGTCTGCGGAGGCGCASACGRTACTGCGACAGAGGGCTGAGTACACTCTGTCGADTCCTGCGATACCTCAACTCCAGTAGCGAGAGGGGCGAACCGCGACGGAGATGTCGGGAAGCCCACTACTGAGGAGGGCGCATGTGTACACTGCACCGTGGCTAGGAGGCGCCGCGGGGACCTGAGGCGCCGGGGCGGGACTGAGCATGACGCTGACGAGAAAGGTCAGCGTAGTGGCGGTCGAGGGCGGTATTGTAAGGGCACCGCGAGGAGGTATGACCGTCCAAGCGGCAGCGCAAACACCGACGCCGGCCTAGAATAGCCGCACGCTCCTCAGGGGAAAGGACACCACGAGGAGGGACGAAACCCTGAGGGAGGTCCTCCTGAGGGACCTCGGGGGGCGACGTGCCACCGTGACAGGGGCGGCAGCATGCCCGAGAGAGGGCGGAGAGCACGAGCTGAAGGCGCTCAGCTGCAGGGAGGGTAGAGTCCTCTAAGTGATAGTGGACGGCCTCGCAGAGATCGAGGTCGTCGTTGTGGTCGCCCTCAGGTGACAGTGGGGCAATAGCGTCCTGCTCACCATACTCCAGCGCGCTGAAGCGGCGCGAGAAGTGGTGGCCCTACTGCGTGGAACGGCGGGGGCGACCGCGGAAAGGGGAACGACGCTGGGAAGTGTCGTGAGAGGAGGAGGAGGCGTAGCCCGTGCGCTGGGGCTGGGAGGAGGAGGCGGGGTGAAGACGGGCTCGCATCCGCTGGTAGGCCTTGGCGGCCTCGTAAGCCTGTGGGGCCGATGTGAACTCGTACCGCCATAGCTCGGAGCGGTACTCGAGCGGAAGGCTGGCCAAGAAACGATCGATAAGGGCAGCCTCAGGGAGGAACGCCACGTCGCAAACGAGGCGGGCGTCCTGAAAGACCTGGATGTGGCGATCCAGGCCGGCAGCGCCACCAGAGCCGGACCAGCGTGTAGTGACGACACGCTCGAAGGCGTTAATCACGTCGTATCGGGCTCCGAAGCGATCCTCGAGGAACGCCTGGAAATCCACGAAGGTCGGAGTCTGACCCTCACAAAGGGAGTAGGCATAGAAATCCTCCCAGGCCTCGAAAGGACCGCCACGCAAGCGCGTGGAGAGGTGACCCACCCACGTCTCGAGTGTGGCGCCCATGAGCTGGAGTGTGCGGGTGCCAGACTGCAGCCACCGAGACAGGCGTATGCCTGTACCGTCATACAAGGAAATGTCCGACAAGCGGATGAGTGGTGCGCCACCGTTTTGGCGGCGAGGGGATCGAGGGGCGGAGGCCTATGCCACAGCTGAGTAAGTCGGCGCAGGTCCTGGAGAAAGGGGCGCAGCTGACTGTGCGCCCGGGCCGCATGGGGGAGCAGCGGTGGCAACAGCGGCAGGCTGCGAGGGTGCTGCGGTAGAAGAGGTCGCAGCAACCGCGGGAGTAGGAAGAAGGTAGGAAGGAGTTGTATAGGGTGCAGGGCGCGGAAAGCGAGCCTTTATGGAAGGAAGGGTAGAGGAGGTAGGGGGTGTGCCCGAAGGCGCGGCCACCTGTGAGGGTAGGGGTGGCTGAAGGCGTAAGAGGGCGAGGTCGGCCCGGAGCTGGGCAATCTCGTCCGCGAGACCTCGAACGTAGGTCGATCGAGGGGTGGCAGGAGGAAGAGTGGAGGGGGTGGACGCACAAGTGGCGCGCGGCATCCTAGAGAGGGGAGAGCCAGGTGGCGCTGCGGTCGTGCGAAGGGGAGGGAGAAGTGGGGCACCCGGAAAAGCGGAGACCATGGTAGCGGGTTGTTGTACCGTGGCCGTAGTGACCGGGATCTGGGCGGGTGCGCCCGTAGACTGAGGGGGGGCCTGGCTCGTGGCGGCCGTCGTGCTAGGGGCGTGGACAGTTACCAAGATGGTCGGGTCAGGGGCAACGGAGGAGGAAGCTCCGCCGTGGCCACCCTGCCGGAGGACGGGGGACCCGGACTGGGAGCTAGGGGATGACGGACACGCAGCGTCCTGGAGTTGCTGCATGCCGGCGGCAAGGGTCGCCACTTGCGCCTGTAAGGGCGCGAGGGTCGCGAGTTGCGCCTGGATGGGCGCAAGGGTCGCGAGTTGCGCCTGGATGGGCGCAAGGAGGGAGGTGAGGAGGGTGTGTAGATCCCCTTGGGGCTGATGGCCCTGGTCCGCCGACACGGGTGAGGAGCCCGATGCCGTGGTCATCGCCGTGTCGGCGGCGTATGACGCACCGTCGGCCATGGGGAGATGACGGACCGGACTGGAGGGGGCCAGAAGAGGTCCGCGTGAGCGGAGGGCGTAGGGGGAAGTCCGCGGTAGAAAGCGGCGAACGGCGATTGCAAGGCTAGCACGGGCGCCGTCAAAGGGGGAGGGGTGGTTCGGGTCCAGGGTGCCCGAAGAGGACGGGGAAGTAAGGGGGGTTTGAGGAACCCTAAACCCTACAAAACCCTAAGAAAACCCTAACCGAGGTTTAAGTG